TCACGATGTGGGTACAATGTGGTCACGATGTGGGTACAATGTGGTCATGATGTGGGTACAATGTGGTCACGATGTGGGTACAATGTGGTCACGATGTGGGTACAATGTGGTCATGATGTGGGTACAATGTGGTCCCGATGTGCCAGGGTGGGGCGCCCTCCTTGGATACTGGTAGGGGAAACACTGATGTGGTCATGATGTGTAGAACAACATTGTGTGCTTGGACTAGAATACAGCCGGTGCACCGCTCAAAACACTCAGAATTCACTGAAACTATACATTTATTATTTTTAAATATTTTATTGTGGCTTTAAAACAAATGGTTTCCACTAACTGCAGCTTGGTGAGAAACTGATTGTAGCAGTGAGTGTGTGTCTGTGTGTAGTTGTCAGTGTGTGTCACTAAACTGAAACTGAATTAAACAATTCTGTGACGTCACAAAGACCCAACGTCTCTGTTTTAGCACGTTTGGCTGCTCACAAATCACCAATTTCTAATGAAACCAGCATCATTTGTAATAAATCACCAAAATTATTGAAAATTCTGTTTTCAGTTTGTGGATATGAGCGACTGAGTGTTGATAAGAAAATAAAATTAAGAGTCACAGAGTGATGGGGTCTGGTTCCTTTCAGGAACAAAGTTAGCAAAAGTATTGAAGTTCTTTGCTTCAGGTTCAGGTTGCTCTCCTGGTCCGTGACCCACGACAGTTTCAACGTTATGAAAGGTGTCGTGTCCTGAGACACAGCCTGGTCCCTTGAGTACACGCAGTTTTAAAATCCTCTTGTTTTTCTGCTTTGTATTGCAGAAATGTGAGTTCAATATGGATAATCTGAGCAAGCCGGAGCTGCTCACCTTGCTCAGTATCATGGAGGGTGAGCTGGAGGCCCGGGACCTGGTTATTGAAGCGCTGAGCGTGAGTCATCACACATCCACACTCATTTACTCTTTCCATCTTAGCCATCGTCTCGTGCAATCAATCCCATTTCCACGAGACTGTCTGCGATCAGCGCCTGCAGCTGAGGCGATGAACTTTAATTATGACCCAGAATCTTGTTTGCATCTCTTATGATGAAATGTCTGGAATGTTGCTAAGAGAATATTTTGATGGCTTTTCTCAGAAATGTGCACAGTGCATGTGTGACCACGATGAAAGGCTTTCCTGCTGCTCCCCTCTGTAATTAGCAGCTGATAAGAGGCCTCTGCAGATGCCTGACACTGCCACATGTTTGTGTCCACCAGCACAGCACCTGTAATGAAGCCATGATGGAGCCCTGCTCGCAGTCCCTCACTGAAGATTCACAGCCACAAATCAAAGACGGTTTCTAAGACGTAGATTTGAACTGGCTTGAACCAGCAGTGATGACAGTCTGTGTCAACAGTGTCTTTGCTCTTGTCATCACTCGTTGCTACAATCAGGTCTCTCTTGAGTCCCGCAGGCTCAACGGGACGAGCGTGTAGAAATAAAGGTTGAATGGGTCTGTCAGGGTTCTGGGGTGGGAGGGGGAACAGCTTGGTGCTGTTACAGCACACCAAAATGGACTCCGGTGCTGGAGATGAACTATACAGTCCTTGGTGGTTAAAGGCAGCGTGATTCGTGTGTGTGTGTGTGTGCGTGTGTGTGTGGGGGGGTGTTAACGGATGATGTATTGATCTGTGGTTACTAAATACTGAAACTGCCCCGCTGAAGAGCTGCAGGTCTGTTATGTTCTCCACATGCCTGGTTCTTTCAGAACAAACGTTTGCAGGACCGTCTCTCTCTGCACTTCTGTGTTTGGGTCGGCCCGTCTCCTCCAAGGCTGTCCTTCTTTTAAATCACCTTTGAACTTGAAGAAGAAATGATGCAAGCTTTGAAGACACATGAAGCATCACTGGTTTGGCTCCACCAGAGCTTCAGGTGTGGAGGTTTGAGCAGGTGACCTTCTGTTTCTACAACCTTGTGTCCTTCGGTTAATTTGGCCGAGCGCTCGTCATGCGGGCGTTCTGTTCAGTTTGTCTCACATGGAGCCTGTTGCACGCTTCACAACCGTTTCACTACAGTTTCCTATCTTACCAACAAAGTCCATGCTCGATAATCCAGGTCTACAATCCAACATTTTTCAGTCAGGTCATCTGGACAGTTTCTTTTTTTGTGCTGAAACGTTTCACCTTCCATCCAGAAGGCTTCATCTAGAGAAAAGAGACGTTAGTGAATTCACCAGTTTGGACTAAGTGTCATGCAGACGCTGCATGCACGATGAATGCAGCTGAGCATCAGGGTTGCCAGATAAATGTAAAATGTCTTATTTACCACCTCCTTTTCTGTGCACATGTTCAACAAACACAACACACACCTCATCTTAAAATATCTTTACTCAGCACACATGACAGTTTAGATCAAAATACTATAATTTTAAAGCCACAGTACTATAGTTCATCATTTCTTACATTTCTTATCTGGCAACCTGACTGACATGGAAACTAAAGCGTTTTGTTGTACAAATAAAAAATATTTAATATGTTTATAAATGAGTCTATGTTTTGTATTTTTATAGTAGGTAAATCACTTGGACTTGGCCATTTTAAAAGTAGCTCACATGATGAAAAAGTGTCCCCCCCCCCCCCCCCCCCCAGCTCCAGAGCATAAAGTGGGACAGATACTCACTAACCACACAAAGGTCATATTTTGTGGTACATTTTCTGTGAAAACAGATGGCTATATGTCGCTTCATATTTTTGATTTATTCCTTTGTGCACAAAGTTCAGGCCTTTTCTTGTCCCTCCTTCGTGTCAAGTCTCATAAAACCATCTGGATTAACTCAGGAAACAAGCATCCTCATCAGCGGGGACATCAGCATGCATTGCCACTTGACCATGTTTTCTGCTGGGATTAGGAGCCTCTGTCCTCTACAGACCACGTTTCACTGAAACTGTCCGTTTGTCCTCGCTGCTCCTCACAGATCTTACAAAGCACAACGAGTCCATTCATTGTGTCGCAGCTGAGGAAGAGGGCGACGTGTTGAAGGCAGCAGGGATAAGAAAAGATAGATTTAAAGAGTGCAGAAGAAATCCTGAAGGAGAAGCTGTGTGTTGATTCAGATCTAGAGCAACAAAGATGGAGGGTGAATGTAAAGTGTGACATGAAGCCTGATCTCAGACGAAGTGGGACGATGTCAAAGAGGATTAAACCCCCTTCAAAAAAGCTCTTGCCTTCAAGCCTTTATCCCCCCAGCACTCCTTCTCCAGGAGAAAGGCTTCCTCTGCCCCTCAGCTGCTGCACAATCAAAGAATCTTCTCAGATTTTCTAGTAAATGCAGATAACTGAGCTTAATGTTCACCGTGTTCACTGCTCAGCCCTCCACCATGCTTGGTGTCCCCCGACGTGGAGCAAAGATGGGAACTGGAAATGCCCTCCATCCGTCCACCCGTGCATGCTGTGGGCACGATAACTTGAAAAAATAAGTAATGGGCCAACTTCCTTTTTGGTGTTTCTCTGCATCTAGGCATAAAGACGACCAGGTCCTTTTGAAAACTGGGTTGCCATGTCACCATCCAAGATGGCCACCACCATATATATGAAAACTAGCCACTTCTGTCACTTAAGGAAACTGTTTTCTAATTTTTATACCGCTTAAAATTATAGTTAAAGTGGCTGGGGAGGCCATTGGGGTGGCCCGAGATTAATCTGTGGTGGCCAAGGCCCCCACTGCCCACCCCCTAAGTTGTCTGGCAGTGGATAAAATGGCTCCTTCTTCAGGATCTGTCTGCTCTGCCTCTGACAAGCAAAAATAAATCAAACCTCCCTCTGTTCTTCTCCACAGTGTAACTCCTACACACTTTAAATCTTGTATGAAAAACACTCAGGTTGACTTAGATTTTCTGCTCAACTCCAGAAAACACTCATCTCTACAACTACAAACATTCACTCTTCAAACCTCTCAGAGAAGGAGGTCATCAGAAGACCTCTGTTGGTTTTTGAGTTGGTCTTGCCTCCGTCGGGCCTCCTCTGCTCCCACACCAGCAGCTTGGACCAGACGCCCCCCGGCTTGGCACGCCGTGCACGTTTATCTGTGGTGTCAGGTTGTTACCAAACGACTTTAGTTACACAGATTAATTAGAAATGAGCTCAAGCTGTCTGAGGTGTCCTACCAGCCTTTATCCTGGAGAAACAAAGAAGCAAGACTGTGGGGAACTGGGCCAAAACACGGAGATCCAACCGTCCCCTAGTCCTGTAGGCCAGGAGCGTTCCACGAGCTGAGGGCTGACGTTCTCTTCCAGGATGATGGAACTACCCTTTATTTGACAAACAGTAAAAACAACTGAGGAATCAAAAGATTCCTGAGCCAAGATGAGGCTGAGAGCACCTGGGACTGTCCCACTGGGACAAAAATAGTTCTGCAAAGACATGAATTCAAATCCATGTGGGTGTCGGAGTGAGACCTGTCCTCCAGTCCAGGGCCAGTCTGCGCTTCTGAACATGATGTTGAAGAAGTAAGAAGTGACCAGGAAGGGACACAGTATGTACAAAGACTTTAACCACATTCATTAAGTGAAAGTCTGCGCCCCGTCCTTTCTGCTGCTGCGCCGCTACAACTGATGGTCCACGGGCCACGTAGACTTCGTTGGAGCAGGAGTTTTGGGCCAAGAAAAATGCACAAACTGAGCACGGTGGATCAGCTGGTAGAGCTGCCACCTCTCAGCTAGAAGGTTGTTGGATCAAATCCTGGCCCTGGACTTTTCTGGGTGGAGTTTGCATGTTCTCTCCGTGCATGTGTGGGTTTTCTCGAGGTATTCCAGTTTCCTCCCACAGACCAAAAACATGCATGTTAGTCTGACTGGTAACTCTGAATTGTCCCGAGGTGAGAGAGAGAGAATGGTTGTTTGTCTCTGTGTCCCTGTGATGGACTGGAGACCTGTCCAGTGTCCCCTGCCTCTTGCACAGTGTCTTCTGGATATGGGCATCAGTGACCCAAAAAGGAAGAAGTAGATAAAGATGGATGGATGGATGTGTGTGTGTGTGTGTTTGTATGTGACCAAAGATTAATCTAAGGTGGTCAAGTCCACCATTGGCCACCCCCTGGCTCCTCCACTGCACCTGCTGGTGGATAAAATCACTGCGCTGCTTCAGCCAAGCAGAACAAGATAAAACTTCCTCCTCTGTTCAGGTCCAGTCCATAAAACACTCGTCTCTAAAACTACAAACACTGACGGCGGACATCACTGCATGAACCGCTTGTTTTTGACGTTTTGTTTTTTGTCTACGAAGCTTTTTCAGTTTCTCGGTTTTTACATTTGAAGTGCTCAGGTTCTTTAGACGTGATAATCCTTCAGACATCCAGTCCAGTGACGTTGGACTGAGCAGACTCTGTCCTCTCATGACTGTGGACACAGTTGGACAGTTTGTCAAACATTTTCTAACTGTTATGTTCCTGATCTCTGTGGGAGAGAACGGTGCACACAACTTTCCAGACTGGACGCCTTGCTCTTGTGACAAACATGACGTGAAGAGATGATTTCACACGTGAGAAGAGCCTGTGGACATCAAAGACTTACAAAACCTTGAGCTTTTGCACTCAACACTTTTCTTCTTAATGTGTTTTGTAGCTGATGTATATCTGACAACGCCTTCTCCAAGTCCACAAAGCACATGTAGACCGGTTGGGCAAACTCCCCTGCACCCTCCAGGACCCTGCTGAGAGTGTAGAGCTGGTCCAGTGTTCCACGACCAGGACGAAAACCGCACTGCTCCTCCTGAATCTGAGGTTCGACTATCTGACGGACCCTCCTCTCTAGAACCCCCGGATAGACCTTACCAGGGAGGCTTAAGAGCATGATCCCCCTGTAGTTGGAACACACTCTATGGTCCCCCTTTTTGAATAGGGGGACCACTACCCCAGTCTGCCAATCCAGGGGAACTTCCCCCGATGTCCATGCAAT